GTGGGACTGGAGTGATGAGTGCGAGGGTGCTTTCAAGAGATTGAAGCATGCACTCATGAATCATGAGGTTCTCATGGTTCCCGATCCGCAGAAGCCATTCATAGTGACCACTGACGCAAGCCAATACGACATTGGCGCAGTGCTGGCTCAGCAGGATGGGAAAAAGTTGAGACCGATTGAGTACATGAGCAAGAAGATGCCATCAAAGAAGTTGGCAAAGTCCACCTACGAGAGGGAACTGTATGCTCTGTATGTTCATTGGAGACACTTCCTTCTAGGAAGGTTTTTCTACTTGAGGACTGATCATCAGACCCTCAAATGGATCAAGACTCAACCGGCTCTTTCTGACACACTCAAGCGGTGGATTGAGGTCATAGATCAATATGACTTCAAGCTTGAGTACCTGAAGGGAGAGTACAACAAGGTTGCAGACGCGCTATCACGTAGGGCAGACTACCTAGGTGCGCTAGTTTCTGACTTTGGCGCATCTGACGAAGTAACTCAATCATTGGTGGGAGTCTATCAGGAAGACCCTGTCACGATGGACATCATTTGCAAGCTTCGGGCAAAAGACAAGGCCACAGAAAGTGAGTTTGTGATGGTGGACGGGTTACTCTACCTTGATAAGGCAGGAATAAAAAGGTTAGTAGTTCCATCTAGTGAACCCCTGCGTAGTTTATTTTTAGGCGAATGCCATGACGCAACTGGGCACTTTGGCTACAAGAAGACGAGTGCTAACTTAGTACACCGATTTTGGTGGCCTGGTATGTTTGATGACGCAAAGAAGTACGTAGAGACCTGTCAGGTTTGTCAGCGGGATAAGCCGCGAACTCAAGCACCGCTTGGGTTGTTGAAGCCTTTGCCTATCCCTGCTGGTCCAGGACAGAGTGTCTCCATGGATTTCATGGACACCCTGGTGACTAGTAAGAGTGGCAAGAGGCACATCTTCGTCATCATCGACCGATTCACCAAGTACGCTAGACTAGTGGCTATGCTAGAGACCGCAAGAACTGACTTCATCATCAAGTTGTTCAAAGACAACTGGGTGCGTGACTTTGGTTTACCAAAGTCTATCGTTAGTGACCGAGATGTCCGATTCACAAGTGAACTGTGGAAGAAGGCTGCAAAACAGATGGGCAGTCAACTTCAAATGACTTCAGGGAATCATCCCGAAGCCAACGGACAAGCCGAACAAATGAACAGAGTTGTACAACACTTGCTGCGGCATTACATCAAGCCCAGCCAAGATGATTGGGATGAGCAGTTGCCTCTCATCGCCAGCTTGTACAACAATGCTATCCATAGTAGTACCGACGTTAGTCCTAATCAGTTGCACTTGGGATGGAAGCCTAGATCAGCACTAGACTTCCTCCTACCTGAAAACTGACCCGCCGCAACTCTAGGCACACTAGAGTATGGTGTGCAGTATGAGAAGTTGTTGCAAGAGGCTGTCGAGCATATAAAGAAAGCTCAGCAAGCAATGATTGCTTCTGAGAATCAACATCGCAGACAGTCCACATTTCAAGTAGGGGAACGAGTCTGGGTCAAGGCTAGTGAGTTAGGACAGGAGTTCGGAATCTCTCGCAAACTAATGCCTCAGTACTTTGGTCCCTGAGAAGTCGTGGATATAGTGGGAGATGAGATGGATGGTCCCACATATGTCATTCGTGTCCCTGGACACCTACGCACTCACCCAGTCTTTCATGCCTCAAAGCTTGCACCTTTCGCTGAGACAGATCAATTCCCTTCCAAGAGATCGATGGGTCGAGGCAGACCTCCTAACCATGGATGGACAAGTGGACATCGACGACATTGTGGATCACAGGGATATGCCTGTTCCGAAGCCGCTGGGTCGAGGCAGACCTCCTAAACCCAAGAGAGAATACCGCGTCAGATTCAGGCATCATACGGATCCGAAAGAAGATCGATGGTTTACCAGGGAGGAACTGATTGAGACAGCTCCTCAGGTGGTGGCATAATATGAGAGGTTACTGAAAGGGAAGGCACCTGAGAAGTAAGCATCTCAGCGGACTTTCGAAGCTAAGTGGGATGGAATGTGAGGATTGAGCCCTCAAGTAGGGGCCTTGCCATGATGTACATGTTCTGGGCTAAGGCCCCAACAAGCCTCGTGCCCGCCCTAAGTGAAGGCGGGCCAACAAATCAACAAGAGCCCTTTGTGCCAACATTTCACGAAGTGGGGTCCATACAGTTGCAGCATGCCAGTTGGTTGGAGTGCATCGAGTCTCGGATTTCAGCAAATGCTGAAAGCCCAGGGCCTCTGAGTTAGTTAGGCCCTGGGCACTCGAACGTGAGGCCGACAATGGATGCTGGGTATAGAGGCCGAAAATGCCAAAGGGAAATCGGCCCACTATCTGAATCTGGCCGCAGGCCTTGATGAAGGAGGCGCAACTACATTGCCCCGAGGCCCAACTGTATCGGGCTGGGTTCAGCCTTTGGGTCCCGGTCGCAGGCTGAAGGGAGGCCGCCCACACGCTGCACTAGCATATAGGCAAGCAGAGCGAGTGGGCAAGGATCTTGGCCATTGCGGGCAATGCCGGTGTGAGGAAACCCGGGGAGGGGTCGTCCATCGTTCGCTGAAGCCAAGGGCAACAGCGCGTCACTCGCTGCCCCCGCTTCCGAGGTCCTCAGCGACCAGCGGGGTGATGGGTGTTTCTGCCCGTCTGTCACGCTTCCTTTTGAAGTCTGTTGTTAGACACCATTCTTCGTGTCCCGAGAGGAAGAGAAGGGAATTAGGATTCAACCGGATATTTGTTGTTTCCTAGATCTGAGTACAAGGTGGACTGGGCCTCGATAGGTCATACCTATTCGAGATAGAGACGACTGATGGGAGAAAGCAACAGATCACTGGGGTTTGTCACAAGGCAGCCATAGAGGTCCAAGGGGTACGAGTGACCCTGCCTGTCTTTGCAGTCAAGAACTGCAGCTCCGACCTGCTCTTGRGTCGAACGTGGCTGAGCCACATGCATGCGGTGACGATAGAGCGACCTGATGGGAGCCAAACATTGTCCATTAGGAAGCCAGACAGGACGCGGGTAATGATTGAGACAGTGGAGCCT